CTCTCTCTCTCTCTCTCTGTGTGTTTATTGCCTCTGTGATTCCCCCCCTCCCTTCCCCGTACCCATTATTTACCCTGTCTGTCGTCTGGAATACAACATGTTTCAATTTTCGGCAGGTTGTACACTGCTTTGCAAAAAACGTTTTCGTCGCTTTGTCGCCTTGCAAGCTTTGTCATTTTCTGAACCAGGCGCCATGCATTTCATCTAGTTGCTTGCTTATGCGTTTATTTGATGCATGCGTTTTGACTGACCAAAATATTGTGCTTTGAAAAGCGTTTTCAATGTGCAGAATCGTGGATTGCTTCAGACTTTTCAGATGGAATGTGTTTGAGAGCGCTGTGAAATGAATCGTCAACGCATGATATTGCTACTAACATGTCAAGGTAATTTGTGTATAAATGATGAATTTGCAAAAATCTATTTTTTGTTCACGTACACCTATAGTTGTCATGTCTATTATTTATAGAAGATCTATTTATTTTTAAATCCTGAAAAATTGTATTTGCTTTGTTCCTTACACAGGTTCAGAGTGGGATGAAACGTGCATTAAAGCACGCATAGCTATGAACATGGATTCTTTGGTGCCTCTAAGGTTAACGTTTTGTTCACTGTTACTTTCATAGTATACTTTTCAAATTCAAATAGCTCTTGATACCTTCCGCTGTCATATCAACTGAAATTAATTGGGGGGGGGGTATAAAGAGTATTTATCAAGAAGCGTGTGTTTGTTATGCTAAGAAGAGTAAAAACGGTTTCATTATTTTTTGCCTTGAAGCAGCTAGAGCTCCAAGAGTGGAATATGTGAATCCCACTCAAGCTAGACGAAGACCGAGCAGCAGGACGAACAGTGAGGTGCCGCGCAGAGGAAGAACCGAAGCTTCCTCCAGGCCGGAGAGGCGACGCACAGACCGAAGAGACAGAGTACGTGGTGGACGAAGGAGGACCAGGTACCGGTACAACACGACACCTGCTCCACAACCACCAACCACTACGACGGTCAAGCCTACATGGAGGCCAGCTTATCCCACAAGCAGATACAGCTACTCGAGTCAGAGTCGGGGCAGGTATAATTACAGACGACAGGGCTCAACTTCGCGCCCGACGTATTATGAGAGAAGCGGAACTCGTACGACAAGTTCTCCCAGGGGCAAAGAAAATCCCCCCACATCTTCGAGAGGAGAAAGTACTCTTGAATCATCCAGGAGGTACGATGGTGAACGACGTTCTTCATCGGGACATCGTCAAAATCAAGGTTCTGAAACGCCAGAGAGATTGCGTTCAGGCAGCAGGCATAGGGAACAGATAAGAGGTTCCAACTCGTATCGTCGTGTTCAAACAAGCTCACGTCAGAGAAGCCATACGACAAGAACGAAAGAATCACCAGAAACGTCGAGTTCAAGCAGACGGTACAATACATGGACACGCACAGACTCAAATCCGAACCCTTACGATGCTTACTATCGACAGCATTATGCTGGATCAAGAGGAAAGTCAGATTCTTCTAGAGTCTCCCCTTACAGATATATCCCTTATCACCAGTCGCGTGCAAGTCCAAGTTCCAGCACCGACAGCAGATACCGTCAACGGGGATATGCGAGTTCCAGTGCCGCTAGCACTAGGCCCAGATACAATCCGAAAACGCAGGCTTATGGTAACACGAACAGTCGGCGGGAATACGCTCCAACAAACCCTGCAACTAGCACCAACCGTCATGGGCAGCGTACACATACCGGCCAAAGCCCCAGTACCGGCAGTACCAGCAGCAGATACGATCAACGAAATTACGGGAACTCCCACTACAACAGACGAACAGACCAACAGCACAGCAGAGTCAATCAACAGGTACATCACAGAGGTTCACAAACAAACCAAGCTCATCATACAGGCAGCAGGACAACAGCGCACACTGGGACAAAGACTACAGACAGACAAACTGCCGATCGCGGCGGACACAGCCATCATTCTCATAGTGGTTCAAACACGCGCCATAATGTCCAAACAGATCCTCATCGCAGGAAACAAGTGACCGGGACTGGAGAATCAACAGCGGAGAGGCATTCTACGGACAGTCGGTATTATCGGCGGGGGTCCCGAGGTTCGACCTCAGGGCGTGACCCACGACTGGATCCTTACCGCAGCAGGCCTTCGTCGACCTCGACTCATACGTCTTCAGGGTGGAAAGAGGCTGCTAAACAAAGTCCTCCAAGCACCAACCCGAGCTCATACTACGGTTCACGTTATCATCGAAAGTTGCAAAGCAGTTCCACAAATCCCAACACATCCCGGACTCGGAGCAACTCTTGGACATACGGCAGGCAAAGGTCAGCGGTCGACAAAAGTCACAACAAGTCCCCATCATCAAGTAGCCATCATAACAACAGGAATTACCATACCGACCACAGAAACGCTGGGTCCAGCCACACTGGTGCCACGACCAGACCGAGGCGCAGAGAGGCCACAGCTTCTGAATACACGCCAGGACAAAGGTACAATGACCACCGCTACAACCGCGCAAATACTGACAAAGAGTCTATGAGATCCAGACAAGGCTGATACTGCAACTATACTCATACAAAGCGGTACAAACAATATTTTTTGTTCGCCTCTATAGAGAGTCTAAAGAGAGCGGGACATTCTCTGACAGCCATTTGACCTAAATCTGTGGCCTGATCAGTGTGCCATTCACCATAGCGTTAAACCGCATTGATTGGTTCTTTGTTGTTCTTTCTTTCCATTTCAAACTAAAACATTTGCCATTTTGTGGTGTGGAAAAAATCCTAATCCTGATGACTTTCCAAACTCACTGTGTAAATACATGTATCTCCATTTTTTGCGAAATAAACATACATTTTATGTTAACTGTGTGACTTTCGTTTACGTACCATACCATTCTGAATTAAGTGTAAAGAAATGTCTTCATCTATCTATCTATCTATCTATCTGTCTGTCTGTCTGTCTGTCTGTCTGTCTGTCTGTCTGTCTGTCTGTCTGTCT